ACGTAATTAGATCATATAAGTGCGGCTAAATAGAAGTGTTACAGGACAGTAACATACACAAAAAAGGAGGAGAGATAAGGACGATAGATGTTTGACAGGAAAGAAGGAGCAAACCATACCAGAGCACCCCCCACCCCCCCATTTTCAACTTACAGATCTTGACGCCTGCTACTCTGCCCTTTACTGTTTGTTTTTTCACTCTTGCTCACTTTTTCAGATCGAGGTAGTTCACAAGTTGACCCTAAAATTTGGTATGCAATTTGGTGGGGTTTGTTTGTGTGAATAAATTGTAGAAAGTTTCCGTCGATGTATCACAATAAACAACCCCACGCAATCTTTGTTATGTAAGCTTACGGGTGATAAAAAATCGTTTTCCAAATACATTTATGTTGGCGAAAAGTAAACACAAAGCTTAATTGTAAATATAAGCAGATAACTGGCTAAACACTATTTTTTGAATATAACTCAATTTTAGTAAAAGTTTTATTTTTGACTTTCATTGCCCAGTATCTCATTTGAGCAAATGCGTCTTACGGGTATCTTTCACCATGCCTGCAAGCATTGCTCGTCCTTTAATGTCTGACGATGATCAATGCTTCTACTGAGGAGAATATCAGTTCTTAAATAATGAAAGAACAAAATAGCATACCCAGAGATGAAGGATTATCCAGCACCAACTCGAAAAAAACCTTTTAATTAATTATTTATTGTAGGTGTGTTTTGCGCTCCCATCGACTAACTTTAGGTAATTTAGGAAGCGGGCCTCGACTCTGTCTGTTAGGGCCAACTTGTTATGAGAAAGATGCAATGTTCCAGTCGAAAAACTCAGATACTTAATAGAAATTCTCCTAAGTCAAACTCGGGTCTCAGGTGTGCGACGGCAAAGCGCCTGGCCGCTTTACAACAGACGCTGTCAAAAATTAATCCACTCTAGAAAAAGTAAAAACTCGAAGAACAAAAAGACAACAAATATCATCTTACGAAAACTTTTTAGATAGAAGTAATAGATAGTTGTCGTTGTTTTGTTCTTTTTCAGGTGTTCCACTCCAGGAAAAAACCCCAAACAAAAACACTTGCACCCCCTCTGCCAACCCCCCCCCCCCCCCAAATAAAAAAAAATTAAAAAAACCCAAAACAAAACCAACCCCAATCCTTGCTATTTTCTGTCAAATCGTTTATGTAAAATATATTGGTAGGGTGGGTCTAAAAGAGTTATAATTTTAAACGGGAAAGAAGCAGACATGCAGAACATTGAACAGATCATTAGGGAGATAGACATTTGGGTTTCAATGTCCGTAAAGAGTAAAAAACGGACTGACAAAGATACTTTAGAATTGTCTGCATGATACACAGCCCACGTGTATGCTTCCACGTTTCTCATATGTGTTCACTTTTCACCCAGAGTGCTACACTTTGCTTATATTATTTGCATGCTGTAACAAAGAATACATAGTAGTCTTTTGTACGGGTCCGTAAACGCACAAAAATGCACACGCTCATACACATTCTGTCAGTCTGTCTGTCTGTCTCTATTTCTCTCTCTCTGAGTCTGTCTCTCTGTCTCTCTTTCGCTCTCTCTCTCTCTCTTTCTCTCTCTCTCACACACATACACACACACACGCACACACATACACACGCACCTCTCTCTCTCTCTCTCTCTCTCTCTCTCTCTCTCTCTCTCTCTCTCTCTTAATCAGGTCTTCACTCACAAGTATACGCACATTAATACTCACAAACACAAAACATGCTCACGAACGCAAGCGCACAAGCACACACACACACACACACACACACACACACACACACACACACACACACACACACACACACACACACACACAATACAACAAATCCCCCACCCAACACTCTCTAACCTTCTTGTATGACCATTCGCAAAGACGAATAAGCACGGAATACTCTGAAAGAATACAGGCCTCACTTCGTACTTGTAGATGGGAGATGATAGAGAAAACGATATGTTTTGACAGTTGCTACTCAAGACAAACCACATGGCCAGGAGAAATATCTAGACATCTGGAAAATTCGGGTCAACAGGTACCAAAAGTAGAAACATTTGTCTGACTCTTCTTTTCTCTGTCTTTCTTGGGCTGAAGAATTCCTACGCTTTCTTTCGGTCACGTACCCGTCCTTTGCAAAACATATTTAAAACAAAGCACCCTTTAGCCTCGATCCCCAACCTTCTTCCTAATAGCCTGTTAGTAGCTCATCTTATACCGGCCTTTAATTTATTTCGACTCCACTGATAACTTGGGTCGCGAGAACGGAAGCCTAAAACTTACAGCCCATAAAGTGATGTGTTAGTTTTTTCCAGATAAAAGGCTCGTTATAAGTATTATTATTATTATTGTTATTATTATTGTTATTATTATTATTATTATTATTGTTATTATTATTATTATTATTATTATTATTATTATTATTATTATTATCAGTAGTAGTAGTAGTAGTAGTAGTAGTAGTAGTAGTAGTAGTAGTAGTAGTAGTAGTAGTAGTAGTAGTAGTAGTAGTAGTAGTAGTAGTAGTAGTAGTAGTAGTAGTAGTAGGAGGTGTAGTAGTAGTAGTAGCAGTAGTAGTAGCAGTAGTAGTAGTAGTAGTAGTAGCATCATCATCATCATCATCATCATCATCATCATCATCATCATCATCATCATCATCATCATCATCATCATCATCATCATCATCATCATCCATTCACGCATCCACTCTCTACAAGTGGATCTAGCACTCGTAAAATCGTAAAAATGCCCTTATAATGGTTTCAGAATATTATCACCACCCAAACACCATCAATTACGTACATGACAAAGTTACGTAGTCGGATTCATCTCGTCACTGATCAGATCAACAAACCAGCGCTAATTGTGCGCGTTACTCTCTCGTGTCAAAGACAAATCGTGTCACTTCTTAGACCTCCGGGGATGTATGCGAGTGGGCCAGTGGTTACAAAAAAAAAAAAATGAGACAGAAAGAAGCCATAAAGAATTACTTCATTTGTCGTGACCACCATGGGCTGACAATCACGTTTGCGACATCACTAGACTCGTAAAAAGTGTGGGCAGTAAAGAGTTATGTACGGTAGATCTAGCTATTAAATGTTTTACGTCCCCGCCAACCCAATTAGGGTCAGCTAAGAGACCAGCTGTTTCGAACCTATCTAGGAGTGGGATTATTACGTTTTAGAAGGAAGTGAGAGATATTCAATCCACTGTATGGACTTACATATACTGAGTGAGATTTGAACGTGTGTCTTTTGCGTACAATGTGGTAAGTTTCAGCAATAGAAGCAACAAAATTGTGTTATATGGGAAAAAAAAAAAGAAAAAAAAAACGAAAAAATAATGAAAAGGGAGGTAATGCCATACCTCCTAAAAAAGGGACAATAAAATGTTATACCTGTTGTGTCTTAAGATCAAACAAACTA